GGTTGCTTGTGGGACTGAGCCTCAAGCCCAACAGAGTCATTGGATATCTGATGAGTCTATAGCGCTGAGGGATCAAAAACGACAAATCCCAAACTGCCAGGATCAAAATAAAGTTAGGTGGCATCTACAAGATCAGCTCACGAAGAGCCTCAAGAAACCGTGAGAACTAGTGGGCAACAATAGCTAGTGAAATGGAAGTAGCAGCTGCATCAGGGAGTAGTCAAAGACTGTTCCGACTGATACGCAACTCGGGAGGTCGGCGAACTCCAGTTAGTGAAACAGTGTGCGATAAGAGGGGACGAGCTATTCACAATAGAGATCAAAGACTCGATCGCTGGGCCGAATACTTCAGCGAACAGTTCAATTGGCCTAGTGCTAACCAGGCTACTTCATCTGCAACTGAAGCTCCGTGGGCAGTGTCATGCGACCCTCCAGCAGAAGCAGAAGTTCGGTCTTGCATTTAAGCTCTCCAGCGAGGAAAGGCAGCAGGACCTGATGAGCTCTCTTCCATTCTTTTTAAGATGAGTGGTGATAACCTCATAAGCTGTATTACTACCCTACTGCTCAACATTTGGACGCAAGAACACATTCCTTCATCTTGGGGCGAGTCACTGATTATTCCCATTTTCAAGAAAGGATCTCGCAACGATTGCGAAAACCACCACGGAATAAGTTTGATCCCCATAGTCACCAAAGTGCTAGCTTCGGTTATACTTCGACGTCTTACGCACATCCGTGAACAGCAAGCCGGATTCCGGCCAAGCCGTGGATGTATTGATCAAATTTTTACGTTGCGTCAGGTCTATGAGCTGCGTCACATCCATCGTCGGCCAACGATCGCAGTATTCCTTGACTTGAAATGAGCCTTCGACTCAGTTGACCGCGAAGCTCTGATGGGCTCCCTACTTCGAAAAGGAATGCCTCAGAAGTACGTTAACCTACTGAGGTCATTGTACTTACAGACCTCCAGTCGCGCAAGGAATTACAACAACCTAAGCAGGCTGTCCGTCACCAGAAGCGGCGTCCGTCAAGGATGCCCTCTTTCGCCGTTCCTGTTCAATTTCATCGTAAAACTGAAGAACGCACTAAGGGGACTCAAAAGCGTAGGTATTGAATGAACAGCGAATTAGAGTACGCCGATGACATTGTCTGTCTGTTCTAATGTATGGGGAACGCGCAAAGCGCACTTGATAGATCAACAAGTGCAGTGGCTACATTCGGTATGTGCTTGCACCTTCAAAGTGAAAAGTGATGTTGCATGACTGGGTTTCGTCTAGTCCCGCTCTGAAACTAAATGGGCAGGATTTAGTTGTGGTGGATTGCTTTTTCTACTTAGGTAGTTGCGTGACCAATGACGGTAGTGCAGCAAAGGAGATAACCACCCACATTTCCAAGGCTCGAGCAGCATATACAGGACTGGAACACCTTTGGTGTAGACGTGACGTTTCACTAAAGCTGAAAGGTCGTGTATATTGTGCTAACGTTCATTCAGTCCTGCTTTATGGTTTTGAGACCTTGAATTTGCGAGTAGAAAAAATCCGTCGACTGGTAGTTTTCAATTATCGGTATTTACGTAGTTTAGCCCATGTTGGATGAAGCGAACGGGTTAGTAACGTGGAGGTAAACCGTCGTGTGTTTGGGAGTCTGTCAGGTATAAACCTGCTGGAACACCGAATTCAGATTATTGGACTTTGCTGGCTAGGGCACGTATTGCGTACGCCCAGCTGTCGTCTGCCGAACCGAGCTTTATTCGCTGTAGCTAATCCGGGCTGGAGAAA